ACAAAAACTAACATGTATGCAAATATATATTTTGCAGTATCTAAAAAAGAAAGAGCACAAAGCTTACATACCTAATATATCTATTTTTGCTGCCTGATACCGCAGTTGAACTAAGAGTCTAAAATTAGACACTCACCTCAATTTGAAAGCTGCATCCCTCAGGCTTAGCAGGTATCACTTAATTCCTGCTACAATAACACACAGGACTTTGTTGTATACTATAAAAGACATAGATGCCTGGAGAGAGCTGCGCCCTGAAATCTCTAATGAGATGAGCCAGGGTTAACCGCCTTCACGGAGCTAGTATCACAGCAGGAAAGCTTCACGGGGCTTCTTTCACAAGTTTATCACACAGAAGTGATTCACTTCACTACATTCTCCAGTTTCTTTTCAATCTTTGCACCGCACCGACCCCCAAATTTCTATCACTCCCCCAAGACCTTTATTTCATTATTTCTACCATTGCAAATAAAAGCCAAGTTACGATTCTCTTAACCTTTCAGCATGCCTCACAAACGCTAACATAGTTTCGCAAAGCAGCAACATGAGCGGGTGCTAGCAAGAGTTGCTGCTGCGAGCTACATGGAATGAAGTAGGGAAGCACAAGCCCTTGGAGGCTGCTTCAGCTCCCACCTGAGCTTGGAGGTTTCCCTTGCTTGCAGCTCTGCATCTTCCCGCTCAGCTCCCACATTGTCCCAGTACTCTCCCACTCCTGGACTGCCAGACTGGGAGGAGAGCTCAGGGAACTCAAGTGAAGGTTCATAAAACCAGGCTCATGCCAAAACACAGTTGCCAGCACTTTTCTTTCCAAATGCAAAAGAAAGGTGAAAAGTGACATCTACTTTTGACCTTCTGGTTATGGCATTTGCCCAGGAAATGTGTCTTCATCTCAAGGGGAGTCAGACCTTGTCACTCATATCTACCAACAGAAAGGAGTTAGAAGATGAACCTTCACCCTGCCTTGATGAAGACTGGTTATGATGCCTCTCCCACTGTGGAGAGGGAAGAACCAGGTTCCCAAGAGGTGACAACCCACCTCACCAACAGCAACCAAGAGCACCTCCTTGATGCGAGTACACTGCAACTTGGCGATTAGACTTCCGCTGCTTCTTTTGCTTCCCACCTCCGCTTTGGGCCCTCCCAAATTACCGGTTGGATGGCTGAACAGCTTCAAAAGGGAAAGCAGGGACTAAGTAAAGATAACCTCATCTGGAAAGGCTGCTGTCCTGGGAACAGAGATGGGCACAGACCTCGTAACACTCACTTCCAATGCAAACTGCCCAATAGCTAGAAGACCAAGCATCCATCCCAAGCTCAGACACTGAACTTTCCTCAGGAGAGGAGTTTCCTAGGAAGCCAAGACATGAAATACAGCCTGGGCTCTACTCCACTGGAAAGTGTTGTCAAGAGTCCAGCAGCACAGCACCTCTGTAAAGTTTTAATTTGCTCTAATCCTAAGTAGTTTTCACCCTTGTTGAGACACAGCAAGTCCAAGCTTCAATATCGATCCAGAAAGCACATTGCATTGTTTAACAGAGATCTCAAGTATTTTCTAAAGTAATTGTCAGAAATACTACAGCTCTGCTAAACAACGCTGAGGTAGCATCTGATTCTCACAGCCCTTCCAGAGTCCTGTAATGACAATGGAAACCAGAATTCCATAATGCCTTTAACGAAAGCACCACTTCCAAAAACGCCTACTCTCAGCAGGAAGTAGGGGTAGGGAATAGAGCTAACACAAGCACTGAACAAAATCCATGCACATTAATTCAGTCATGGATTTTATTCAATTGTCAAAACCTTTCAGATGGAAAACGATCCTTTAGGAAGCAGTCCGAGTGATGATTTCTTTATTATTTCTTCACTGCCACTCAATACAAAATATCAGGCACAATTAGAATGAAAAAAGAAATTGAAGAACATTTAGTCCTCATCTGGTCTGAAACACGTGCACAAACACAAAAGGCATTAATTCCATCTCCCTGTCAGCAACTGGGATAAGATGGTAAGGGTCAGAGAGAGATGACAGCATTCATCATATTGAATTACTAGTCCCTTCAGCCCTTCAGACATCCTAATCATGGGTGTATTTGCAGTCATTTTTGGTTTTCGCATTCTACGGTGAGATGCAAGTGTTTATCGTCTGTACGAAAGGTAAGAGCCCAGACTTCCCTAACAGAGTAAAGACAAAAGCAGAAACGCAACCACAGTTCACAGGCTACTTGATGATTTAGAAACTTGGGGCCAAACCTACTATTGGCACAAGCGAATGCAAGTCCTCCAAAGCATGTGAATTGCACCTGTTAGCGTCAGTGACTGCTTTGGCTCCTCGCTGATAAAATCAACATCCTCTGCTCTCTAAGGCTTACTACTCGCTTTACGTAAGAGTTCAAGCATCTCGTATCCATTCTTCCTAGAAAAGAGTACTGTAGCACTTCTGCAGCTTACAGCAGGGCAGGTGGGAACCAAGACAACCGCATCTGCATCTAAAGCAACACGGGGCCAAAGCAGGGCCGTTCTCTCCGTGCCACTTCCCAACAGACCACATTTACAGATGTTCATTACTATGAGTTTATAATCCTGGAGATTGTTCAAGAGCACTGTCATAGTGCCATGTATAGATTAATTTTATATATTTATAGCTCCTTAATAAAATTCATGGATATCTGCTAAGCTGCAGTTGCACTGACAAATTTACACAGCATTACAGGATTTCACTTTATACTCATACTGGTTTTATCCAGTTTACCTCATTTACATGATTGGTCTGTTCTGGGTTGCTTTTTGTACTCTGAATACTGGTTCTCCTATTTCCTACAACCAACTCTTGCATGACAGTCAGCAAAAGGGCTATTTTTGACAATTCATTAACAGAATTCTAATATTATTGGAAAATCTAAACATTCCATCTTTGCTCAAGTTCTCTTACACTTTGTAAAACAAATCATTTTGGAGGAAAAAAACAGGTCTGACCCAAAATTTAAAAAGGGAAGGTATTTACAGTATGAGAAAGTCAGAAACTTCTACACTTGCTTCATGAGCCACTCTCTAGAACATAAATACTCAGTAAGGGTTCGCAGCAATTATAGCTCTGCAATTATTTTAGATTCCAAGTCAAATACTTAGGAGGAAGGGAATTATTAGTCTTTCAAGATTTTCTGTCATGCAGTTCAGGTTATCATCTTATTTAGTTACATTTCACAACTGAAAAGCATTTGCTACAAAGATAAAATGCCTTCCTAGCGTGAACTAGAGCTCTTGTTTTAATAAACTTGGCTAAAAACATCCAAGTCAAGGACAAGGGGAAAAAAAAAAAAAAAAAAAAAAAGAAGAAAAATACGTTTGTGCGTATGGTCGTGAGGGGGAGACCGACTGAGATACCGGATGGACTAATAGCAGGTGATACACAGAAACATCACTTCCTGACATAAATAAATAAATAAATAAACCAAGATACACTGGTATTTCATTCAGCCAAAAGATAATCTACACTTATGATCCAACCCAACTTTATTAAGGCTGCACTCACATTACTGGGAATTTCAGCAAAGTTACTATTTTAAGATCAGACATCCCAAACATTCACAACTGCCTTGGAGTGTTATCATATTGAAAAACTACAAATACTCTAAGCGTAATAAACCAAAGAATGCTAAACAATACATAACGTTAAAGACTTTTTATATAGGGTTAGACGGTGGCAGAGCTAAGAAAAAGTCACTTAAGGCTTCGATTCAGTAAGTCACTTAAGGACCTGTATAATCCTAATGACTTTAGTGAGGCTACGCAAGAAGTTATGGTATTCTGATGGACGAGGTTGTTGGCCTCCAATTTATCCAGTTACAAAACAATATCCCAACACACTTCAATCAACTGAATAAATTAATAGACCTGAAAGAGATGCTGAATCCCTCCCTCCCGTGGCTATTACAATGCCTGCTAAAGGCCTACAGCTGCCTTTATAAAGCCACACACGTTACTATTCTGGCAGCGTTTTTTGGGATTAAGTTTAATGATGCTACACTTCTGCGTCTAAGTACGTGTCTCAAAACAGCAAGTTCACAGTAGCTCTCAGGTTACCATCCCAATCTCAAACACTCAGGCACATGCTTAACTTTCCACTGTGAAATTCAAGTTAAATATGTTCAGTGTTCACAAGAGTTGGTCTGAAAGGACACCCTGTTTCTCCTCCTTAAACAAACAGGGTGGATATCTTCCAGTTAAACAATACATGAATTTTAAGGATTCTACCTCTTACCTCTCTCACGATTCATATTTTCCAAATCTTAATTTACCTTTCAGTCTCAGTTACTATTTTACTTATCCTATGACATATGCCACATTGGTCTTGTGGGCTCTTTTTTGTTTCCGTTATCCTTTATTTCAGCTTTGCATTTATCTCTTCGTCTCTTAATATCACCTGTTGCTCACTGTGACAAAGCATCTCTTTTTTAATATTGGCCCAAGTGATCACTTGTACTACCTCCCACCATTTTTTTTTTTTGGTGTGCAGATGAAGTTTTATCAGTGCAATAAAAGAAAACAGAGGTCAACAGGCAACAGCTGCCTTTTTGTTTCTTTTGGTTAGATTTTCCTTTCTGTACCTTTATGTCACAGGCATTTTTTCGATAAAGTTCTTATCAAAAGCTCAAAGTGGTTGCTACTCTCTGCACACTATTTTTAGGAAATTTGAGTAATTTTCTATTACAATTTATATCTTGGTTTTTGGCTCTTGTTCTTAGAATGGGTTGAATTAAACTACTGTACTGCTACTTCAGCAGCTAATGACCAAGGTGTGTTATTACACATCAAGATACCTGCATTAAAGATGCTACATAAAAAGGAAGGCAGGTAAGTACTTAATCTGTGAACTACCGCTCCCTCTTCCCTTGAGATGTAAATCTCAACACAAGGTAACTAATTTGGACAAGTCACAAGGGTGAAGTTACATGAGCTACAAGCTGAATCAAAAACTAATTACCATGAAGAGAAGATCTTACTTCTGTTTTGCATCTGTTCTCTTCACCCTGATGTCAAACTGTGCAATTCTTCTATCTTTAGCTGGCTTTGGGGGTTTCCATAAGAGTTGGTATGAAGTGAGGCCTACAACTGCAGCTCAAAAGTGGAAATTAGGGGAGACCTAGCCCGATTTTGAAATAAATGCATCGTAAGAGAGTAGACAAATGCTTTAGCTGTAAATATGAAGAAGGGCCTATTTGTACCAGCTCTGTCACCTGCCAAACAACATGTAAACACTTATTCTTTACTCCCAAGCACCTATGGCTGACACGAACTTCAAATACACTTCTATATATTCAGACAACTTTGAAAGTCAGGTTTAGGCACAGTAAGCAGCTGTCATTTACGTAATTCTTCCTTACATGTAGAATTAAAAGTTGCCTTATTTACTTTCAAATTGCAGACAAACATGTAACCTTTTGAACATTTAACGTTTTGTGAGATAAGAGATTTATTTGAACGCAAATACCCCTCTGGTCACGCAAGAGAGGCTTCCAATTCTGACTTACTAACCCGAAACCTTGGACTTCAGTTTTCTGAGATACTGAATAATCACAATCCATGACTGATTTAAAATCTAAGGGCCCAGGACTGACAGCGGGTAGGCTGCATGAGAACCAAGATGTTGCAATAATTTAAAGGTTAAGTAATCTATTTGTTGAAAACTCGTAGGTGTATTAAGTACAATTAGAGTTGATTACGGTTTTCTTATCTACTGCCAATTTAACACTACAGATGTGCAACGCGGGCCACAGGGTTCAAGCGTGCAAAGCAGGCTGCCATTCGAATGCTGACAGAGCACGACCGCTGTCGCATCCCTTCCGCTTCCCCGACCTGCAAAACGAACACAAGACCAAGACTCCGTGA